GCAGGCTGTGGAGTGAAGCTTCTTTCTCGTTGCCCACAGCTGGGGACAAAGTGGCGCCGAGTTCCCCACATCCTAGAGAGAGCATCCACGGAGCAGGGCCAGATCTTGTGAGCCCCCAGGGCTGCAAAGAGGTGGCAGTGCCAGCCTTCACAATCAGCCACCTCCTCATCCCTTCCCACCCTGGTCCGCACAGGGGAGGCTGAGGAGAGGGGTTCAGGAGACACTGGGGTTGCCAGTCTTGTGGGGAGTACAGTATTTGTGGAGACAGGTGGGTTCCTCAAATAGGTTCTGAGTGCCAAGAAGAAAAGGAAAATTCCTCTCAGTCCCCTGCTAGGCCCATGCCGAGCTGCCAGCACTGCCGGCTCGTCCTGGTGCCCCCGTCAGGGCAGAGGGGAGCGTGGGAAGGGAGTTCTTGAGAGAGTTGAGGTGTGTGGGACCCAGTGACCTTCCTGGTTGCTTCTCCTCTAGGGATTTCTAGAGGATGTAGCGGCCCAGGCCAGCAGAGCTGAAGAGGCAGTGATGGCGGGTGGCTGGGAAGAAGATGGGTGAGCCCCCTCCCGTCCCACAACTCTGCAGCCCTGGGCAGGAAGGGGAGAGGCCCTCAGTCATTCTGGGAGGGGCTACTGGAAAGACGGCTGGGTGAGAGAGACAGAGGCTGGGCCAGGTGAGGCGACACCTCACCCAGAGGGGGCTGGGCACACGGACCCCTGTCAGGACAGTCGAGGGCACACCTGCTCCTCCCTGTGAGGCCTCTGTGTCAGAGGGGCAGGTGTGAAGCTGAACGTCACCTCGGGAGCACAGCCCTTGCTTCGTGCTTAATAAGAGCTCAAAGCTTATTTCTTCTCAGTAAATACAATGAGAAAGAGACGCTGTATAGGTTTACATTTAAATATCATATCTCATCACTTCTAAGACACATGTTTCCTCATTATAAATTTCTGAAGTAGGACGTGTCTTACATTCGCTAATGACCAGGCAGCGCTAATGAAATAGTAGTAATCGCTTTAGAAATAATTAAATAAATGTCTTCTGTGTATTCTTTCCTTTTTGTTTATTCGCAAGAGTGATGTAAGATTAAAATCTCTGTCCCAGCAGCGTGCTTTTCTTGGTGGTGTATAAACAATAATGCATCTTTCAGTCCGTGGTGTCCTGGACTCAGAGAATGCGGTGCGTCCCTCCCGCTCCTCCAGCCTCACAGAGTGCTCTCTGCTCACTCGTCCCTCTGAGAGACAGCACTGTGCTGTGGAAATTCAAAGTATTTATTGCTTTCTTCCAATGCTGTTCATCAGATACCATAAGGACTAATAGTTTATTTACACTTGGGGTTGCTAATTTTCATTTCTATGAGGGAGCGTGCAAGGCATTGTTAGAGGAAAAATATTTTCTATGATAAAATAAAGTGATGTCATTTTGGATGGATCTTAGTATGACGTTGGTGCACATGTACATAGTCACCTGAAAGGGACTCATGACCACGCTCTGCAGGTCGCACCCTGCGTCGAATATCCGTACTTTCTATGACTCCCAAACCCTCCTCCCACTTCTGCTGGCTTCTGAACAACACTCTTCTCCTGCTTTGTTTGTTCGTTGCAGCCACTATTTACCAAGCGTGTGCTCCCTGCGAGGTGCTTTGATGGGGACTTGGACACAGGATGACACACGGATGTCCTTGGGTTTCCCACCCACTTGCCCTGAAGACAGACAAGAAAGCAGGGAAACACAGTGGGTGAGATGAGCCGAGCATCATGGGTGACACAAGCAGGTACAGCTGGGCCCCCGCAGGCCTGGTCCTGTGCCTCAAATGTGCTGCACCCCCACCCCATTCCCTCCTCCATTTGTCCTTTCTCAGAGCAAGGGAGGTCTCTGCTCCCTTTGCGGTTAACCACCCCTGTCCGCTCGATCCCACCGCCTCCTGCTTCCCCTTGACTCTGGTGCAGCTGTGATTTCTCTTCTTTATCTTTAGCGTCTCCCTCTTCAATAGCTCCTCCCTGTTCCTTATAACTAGTCTGAGCAATACTGAAAGAAAATCTTCCTTTTATCAGTAATTTAATAAACTAAATCAACCATTCATCTCTTCACTCAGTAAGCATTTGTTGAGATCCCATTACATGACAGGGACTGGCTTGGTACTGGATATTTAGGGGTGAACAAGACAGAAATGGTCTCTTTTTTCATTGGTTTTATAATACAAGGAGGAAGATGGGCCAAAAGAAAATCCAAACAAAAATCAGAAGAATAAAGAGAAAAATTAGTAAAAGAATCTCACATATTGAAAATTGGTAAAAAAGTAAGAGTACCCATGGTAGGCCAACCAAGATGATCAGGGAAGGCCTCTGTCAAGAAAGAGGGATTTTAGGAGAGACCCACAAGTTGAGAAAGGCTCAGGCCTATGAAAAGCGAGCAGGAGAGTGTTCTGCATAGAGGGAATGTCATGTGCAAAGGCCCTGTGGCAAATAAAAGCTTGGCTTGTTTGTGGGAGTGGAGAATGGGGAGCTCAGGAGGGTATGGCATGAGATGATGCTGGAGGGTGGCCAGGGACAGATCACACTGAGCTTTGGAGGGTGAGACAAGGATGGAGATTTTATTCTAAGGGAAATAGCAATCCTTGATGGATTTTTATCAAGGGAGAGATGTGATCTGATTATAGCTTGCACGTTAGACTGAGAGGTACGGTAACTAGATGTCCTATTTTGCCTGGGACAGTCCCAGTTTGTTCCTGGTATCTTGGCATAATTATTAATAATGCCCCTTTTCACTCTGAAAAGTGACTTAATTTGGATGAGTAATTACGTAGTCAACTTCAGTATAGAGGAAACCATGGAAGTGGGGAGACTGGTCAGATGGCAATTGCAGTAACCCAGGTGAGCAATGACGCAGCAGGGAGCAAGGAGGTTGAGCGTGAGGTCAAGCTGATGGACTAGGGATGAACTTTGGAAGGAGAGTCTCAGGACTTGCTAGTGGATTTAAATGTGGGGCAAAGGGAGGGAGGCGCCCAGCATGTTCCCCAGTTTCTGGGGTGAGCAAGAGAGAGAGAGTACTCATGTCGTTTATTGACCAGGAGAGCCTGGGGAGGAAGATTCTAGAGGGAAGGGAGAATGGGAGAGTTCCCCCGCACACGGGAAGTTTGAGATCTCTGGACGCCACAATCACGGATGTCAAGAGGCCCGTTGGACATACAAGCACGGAGCTCAGAAACGAGGTTCTGAGGTGGAGACATGACTGAATAGCCATCAGCATGTGGACACTATATACACTTGTTGTTGAGAGTGTAGAGAAATAAAAAGGGTGAGCCCAGAACCAAGTCTGTGGAGCTTTTAGAGTTTCAAGGAGACGAGAAAGAAGAGGTCTAAGGAGATAAAGAAAAATAGAAGTAGAAACAAGGAGAGTGTGGGATTGTGAAGCCAGGAGAGAGAAGCTTCCGGGAAGGGGGCAGAGGGCCACTGTGCTGACCATTGCTCAGAGCCCTCCTGCCAGCAGGAGAGAAATATGTCAGCTGTTTTGGCAACAGAGTGGTCAATGGTGACAAGAGCTATTTTGCTGGAGTGGTGGGGACAGAGGCCAGGCTGGAGTGGGCTCAAGTCTCAGTCAGAAGTGAGGGATCAGAAAGTGTGGACAGGCAGCTTTTCAACATTTTGACTATTAAGAGGAAGAGAAAAACATGCAAGAGTGAGTTTGAAATGGATTGAAGTCAGGGTTTTTCAATGTGGTATGTTATTGGGAAGCAGCTGCTGAGTGCCTGGACCCTGCTGGGCATTGCGCCTGCAAGGATGAACGAGATGGGCTCTCTACCTTAACAAGTCAGGCATTTCCAGGCATAAGTGCTCTCCTGGCCACTTACCCCAAGGGCTAGAGGTCCGGGAAGGAGAGAGTCCCCACTGCCCATCCCCTTGGCCTTGTTCAGCATGTCGCAGGTCCTGGGGTCAGACACACCAGCCTGCAATCCTGGCTCGGCACTTTGGACAAGGTCCTAAGCACATACCTCTAAGCCTCAGCTTCTCCAGCTGAGAACTGCAAAGACTGTCTCCTTGGCTGAATCGAAGAAAGGGTCTACAGTAGAGCACATTCAGCATTTGAAATGAACAAAAATGGCAGTTTCTATAATCACAATTCACCAGCTTCCCACACCCCAGCAGAGTTCGGATTGCCACCAGTGTGTGCTTCTGTGGAGGCCCCTATTAAGCTGTGTTGTAACTATCTACATATCTGACCTCCCCTCGAGAGCTGAAAGTGGTATTTTATTTGAATAAACACAGTGAGTTTAAAGATAGGGAAACTAATATGAGAACTATTCCTTAGGTAAAAGGAGCAGGGACCGGTTACCAGTTGAGTCAGGGGTAGGCTGTGGTGTTGGCAAGAAATAACTGGAGTCCCAGATAGAAGTTTCCAGGATAGGGATCCTGGGATTAGGCTTCCTGAAGCAATGTACCTTCTTGATTGGGAAAGAGGTCCCTGGGGACAAGGCCTGGAGGCAGAGGGGACAGGATACAATTGACTGGGCAGTGAAGTGTCTGGACACAGAGAGGCCTGCGCACAGCAACAAAAGAACTGGGGAGGCCTGGTCATGATGAAGAAGTGGTGGGTGGGGGCTGCCCAGGACTTGTGCCAGAGCCATGCAACCAGCCATTGAGGAGCCCAGCATGACGGCCAATGCTTTGCCAGCTCAGCTTACTCAGGAGGAGAAACTGGGCCCACTACAGAGTAGAGGAGCTCATTGGGTCATGTGATGACATGGCATAGCTATAGGTCTGGTGGGGGTCCCTGGGCCCCCATAGTCACAGGCTCATCCCCCACAGTGCTGCTTATCTTCCATACGGCATCAGGTAGGCATTCTTCCAGAGTCTGTCTCAAAGATTCCAGTTTCCATCAACAAATTCAATTTGAAAAACATTGGTCACCTCTGGGTGCCCTTTATCAGTTCCTGGGGACACAAATCTCAGTGATACTACATCTCTCTTTTGGAGGGTGAACTGTGTGCCCAACAGTGTAGTCCCATGAAAGCAGAGGGAGCAGGGAGCTCAGTATTCCTTAGGCAGGCTAGCAGGTCTGAAGTGCTTGGGGTCATTGCCACTCTGGCCCCATTCCCCAGCTTTCTGGTTGGAATTCAAGTTCTCCAATTCACAGCTGCTGCTTCCAAAGTGATGCTGGTTTAAGAGTCCTTGAGGATCTTCCCTGGCGTTGCTGGAAGGAAAGGAGAGAGGAGATTGTCTTTTGGGTCGCTCTAGACAGCTCCACCTCCCAATTCCCTCTCCCTTTCCACCAAGGAATGACATTCAGAGGAGGCTGGAAGAGCCCATGCTCAAGAAGGAGGGGCTAAAACTCACGCCCTTGGGCACAGGCCTGAATCGAGTTGTTCTTTCTGTGTCCTGCAACAGAGCTCTGCAGAGACCCTTCCCTTTCTCTTTGGGGGTGGGGGAGACACATCCACACCAGCCCTGCTCTGGCTCTGCTGACCACCCAGACCCCAGGAGCAGGGGCAGGAGGAGGTGGGACCACAGCCCTCCTGACTCTGGAGACAGACAGCTGTGTTCCCAGCTCTCTGACCTCCTCAGAACACCAGTCACCTGATCACTTTAGCTGCCCAGACACTCCCAGGGCCCCCTTGTGCAGCATCATAGTTCCCCCAGGCATGGAAGTATCTGGTTGAATGTTGATAATTGGCTTGTCTCATGTCCCAGTAGGCTCCCACCAAGTCCCAAGCCCCTGGAAAGAGACAAAATAACCAAAATGAAGCTGGTGAGATACCGGAGAAGTGAAGGAATGGAAACTGTACACTCCTTTCGGATTTTGACTTCTGACAAAGCAGTGAGAGGAGAAGGGGGTTCCACATTTCTCTACTACGATGGCGTGTAAGACAAATACATCCTTTCCACTGAGGGAGGGCAACTCGGGCTTGAATAAATCCGACATGACAGGCATCAAAGGCACAAAACAAATGCTGAAACCGGCAGTAAGAGATGAGGTGGAATTGCCTGAGGGAGCTCCACAGGCCTTGTGCAATCAGCCTGCGCTGTCGCTGTCAGGGGTGAGCATCCTGTTTAACTCTCTACCCTGCTAACTGAGCTTTGGCTTCCTCACCCTTGGATTGGGAGCATCATACCTACCTTCATGGTGGGTGAAATGAGAAGATAAAATGAGGGAATATCCATAAAGTGACTAACATATTGGAGAACTTGATGCCAGTTAGTTTCCTTTTCCTATTAGTGAAGGCTAGTGGTGACAATGAGAGGCCACTATACACCCACCAGAATGTGAAAAATTTTAAAAACTGACACTATCAGTTGTGGTGAGGATGTGGTGCATCCGGAACTCTTATGCATTGTCGATAGAAGTTTAAATTGGTACAGTGTTGGAAAACTGTTTGACAGTATCTACTAAAACTAAGCCTACATTTGCCTTATGACTCTACAGTCCCACTCCTGAGTATACGCTTCCAACGTAAATGACTGCCATATCCACCAAAGAACAGGTAGACCAATGTTCATTGTGAATTTTTCCATAACAGCCCACAATTTCACAAACCCAACAACACAGAATAGGCAAATAAATTGCCATATAGTCATGTGTCATTTAGTGATGGGGATATATTCTGAAAACTGCCTTGTTAGGTGATTCTGTGATTGTGCAAATGTCATAGAGTGTACTTACACAAACCTACACAGTATATCCTGCGACACACCTAAGCTAGATGATACTAATCTTATGGGACCATTGCCATATGTGCTTTGTCATTGACCAAAACATCGTTATGCAGTGCATGGCTATATGTTCATATAATGGGATACTATACATCAATGAAAAAGAACAAACTATTGATATAAGCAACAACACGGCTGAATCTTATAGACATAAGAGCTGAGCAGTGTGAGTGGAGAGACATAATGTCGTGTGGAAGAAAGCCAGATACAAAAGAGTGCATGATGTATGACTTCTTTTATTTGAAGATCAAAAGCAAGAAAAACTAGTCTATAGAGAAAGAGGTCAGAATAGGGGTTACCTTTGGTGGGGGACATTAACTGGGAGAGGACACAAGGTATCCTTCTGGGGTACTGGAAATATGATACATCTTGGTCTGATAATGGTAGCATGGGTGTTTATATATACAGAATTTCATCAAACTGTACAGTTTACTGTATCTCAGTTTACTGTTATATCTCAGTGAAAAGAGTTTAAAAAGAAGATTCGTGGAAAAATAGATGCTCAAAAAAAAAAAAACGGGGGGCCGGCTCCATGGCCTAGTGGTTAAGTTCATGCGCTCCACTGCAGCGGCCCAGGGTTCGGATCCTGGGCGCGAACGTGGCACCACTTCTCAGGCTACGCTGAGGTGGCGTCCCACATCGCACAACTAGAAGGACCTGCAACTAAGATATACAAGTATGTACAGGGGGGTTTGGGAAGATAAAGCAGAAAGAAAAAAAAATACATCTAATCCAGGAAGAGGTGGAAGAAGTGCCTGTGTTGCTCAGTAAATATTTATTGTGACCTGCCGAGGCTCACATGCCAAGGATTTCTTTAAACAAACTCACTTAGAAAAAGAAAAACTAAGATGGATGGTTTTAATTATTCTTTATGTGCTTTGTTCTATAGGATATTTCTCACTACTTTCATGTATTAATTATTTTATATCTGTGATTCTGTTGAGTAGGTTCTCTCAGGCGTGACCTAATGACTGTTCTTTCTCTCAAGCTCATTAATCCTTGAGACCCTTAAGTCACCCCTCAGGGTGAACAGAAAACAGCAAATTGACAAGATTAACTTCTTTTCATAACAAAGTGAAAAGGTAATCTTACAGAATATTTAGAGCAACCCTCAGGTACTTGACTTCAATCTCACTGTCTTTTTTCCCTTTCTCATTATTGCAGGAAGCAGGGGGCCAATCATTCTGGCTACTTACTGCTGAAAGGGGGCCAAGATAAGCAAACTGAGGAATGAAAATTTTCAACCTGAGATTGAAAATACTGTCAAGTACTGGGTGACTTTTTGCATTTAGCATCATTAGAATTTTTGCACCTTGTTCAATAGTTTTAGTACAACATGTAAAAGCACATTTTATCATCAGACATCCAGCCAGAAGGATAAGAAGTAGCAAGAGCCCCAAATTTTAGTAGTGCCTGAAAAATAGATATAATCCCTTAGGGAATCCAAGAGAACCATCCTGAAAATTATTCTAGACATTATAAACTGGAATTATCAAGGCATCCTCATGGTCATGCACTGAATAAGGTTTGGGATGACATATGCAACTTCTAGAAAGATAACTTGCCCTTGCTAACATCTGAGAAATTCTAATAATCCAGTTGTCCTTTCAGGCTTGGGGGTCAAAGTCAACAAGGAAGCATAACAGCCAGTTTACAGAGAGAAAACAAAAATGTTAAGGACAATTTACAAAAGTAGAGTCTAATATCCACAAGTCTGTATTATAGTTTCTACTGAAACATAATTTTTCTCTCTAAAATCACTAATTTTTACCAAAGATAGCCAAATTAAGACTAATTGATTGGCTCAGCCCAATTATTTTCATAAGTACAGGAAAAATAGCAATTTGATCATATAGACTCTTTTAAATCTGCTTTGCTGGAACTTTTCTATAAAGGAATCTCCAGATTGGAACTTAAAGAGCTCTCAGGGCCAAGCCAGGCCTTGCCAAGTACTTGTCATCAGACTTTCTCTGCAATACCTTTAGATTTGGATCAATTCCTCTCTTATCTTGCAGTTCCCCAAAATATCCTGAGGTTATTTGCCTGCCAGAGAAGTGACCTTCTTTACTCAACTGGTAAGGTTGCTGGGAACTACGCAAGCAAGGTAGCAGGCCAATATTTCCAAGTGGCTTTACGTCATAAAGTCAATCTTTGTTCCTTAGCTGTGTGTCATATCTGAGTCTGCATGTTTCTTTCAAATATGACATTCCAGTCAATGCTTTGGTAATATAACCAGTGTTTCCAATTTTGTCTTGTTATTCGGACAACAGATTCTTATTGAACTTATACAAACAACTAAATTGCCATGAAAATAAGAATATTTGAAGAAGTCACTAAGAGTTTCTAAATTCTGGAGGGATCAGGCAGGGAGAAAAAGATAAATGTTTCAATTCTGCTTACAAAAGCATAATTTACCAAACTTCTATAAGTCACAGTTACCTTAAGAGAAAGGAGGAAAAGATTTTCTTAAGTCTGAAAAAGCAAAACATTAAAAAATCAGCAATACTGCCCATGAAAAGTTGTAAAATTATATTCCTCCTCATCAGTTCATTTAGTCCCATGTAATGAACTATTGACTTTTTTTAGCAGTTTCATGAAGTCATCAGTTTTTCATTAGAATCCTGTAATTTCTTACCCAGTTCAGTTTTATTATCTGAAAGTTTATCAGAAAGCAGTATTCTAGAGTAAGTGTAGGAGTCTTTTCCATGAATCTCTCTGAAGATGAAATGTATTTGCAAAGGCAGAACTCAAATTATGACTGTTGATGGGACACATCAGAATTTTAGGAATGTTACGTAATTTTAAAACATATCAATAACCTTTACCAACACGATTTCATAGGTCTCTATGAATCAATGCTTAGTCATCCGTTTATCCATGGTGACAATTAAAGACTTTTAGGCAAATGCAGAAAATTAAATAGCTGTAAGAAAAAACATTAGCACCTATGATTAAAGACCTGTTAAAAACAACACAGGAAATTTATGTTGATAAAACATAAAATCTGTACCCTTGTGGTAGACCACTCAAAGAAAAATCTTGGGGCCAGCCTGGTGGTGTAATGGTTAAGTTTGTATGCTGTACTTTGGTGGCCTGGGGTTCACTGATTCGGATCCCAGGTGTAGACCTACACACCATGCTGTGGGGAATCCCACATAAAAAGTAGAGGAAGATTGGCATGGAGGTTAGCTCAGGGACCATCTTCCTCAGGCAAAAAAATAAAGAGGAAGATTGGCAATAGATGTTACCTGGGGGCCAATCTTTCTCACAAAAAAAAGAGAAAAAAGTTCCATAATCCCTTTATTAAGAGTGGACTAAAAGTTTAAGAAAATTATGCTTATAAGAGAGGGAAATAACAAATTCTAATTTTGAATTTATAACATCAGGCCAGTGTTTCTTGAATCTTGGGAGCTGCTCTCAACCATGCGAGGCAGCGTCCCACATACCACAACTAGAAGACCCACAACGAAGAATATACAACTATGTACCGGGGGCTTTGGGGAGAAAAAGGAAAAAAATAAAATCTTAAAAAAAAAAAATTCATTTGCTTCATTGATTCATTTTAATGTTAGCCAACTTGACCAAGTATAAAATTCTTTTCTCAGAGGTTTTCTTCCATAAACCTTCTACAACCTTTTTTTAACGAACAAAAATGTCTTTATGTCTTATACTTTCTTACTGAAAACATACATCCTACTTTCTGATAACTTTGAGGACATGCCTATTTCAATCAAACAAACAAACTTAAAGAAGCTTTTATTTACCAAGATTATTCCGTATCATGTTAATTTGAAAGACGTTTGGATTAGTTTCCATTGCATTAAGCCAACTAAATAGAGCTCTTAATTTTGGCCATTGCCATCCGGGGATAGAAAATATGTCACATGGTATGGGCTCAGGCAACCCTATTGACTTCCTTTAGCATGTTTAACTAACACTGTCTGAAGGGCAGATTTTTATGTTGTTTTACAAAATCAATACTGGGAGAACATTTCCTCCAGTGGG